TGAACAGCAGATGAACAGCAGATGAACAGTAGATGAACAGTGAGTTAGCTTCAGTGTCTCCTCACTCACCCGGTTCGGGACTTTGGACAAAGTGTCACAGGTCTCGATGTATTGTGAACTGTAAACATACACCACGGAGCGTGTCCCGGTTCTGTCCTCATCTCTGTCTCCGCTGCGACTCATGGACGACGAAGTTAAATCTGTGTTTTCAGCAGAAACTCGAGAAAAGAAGATTCACAGCGGAGCGATGGTTCCTCAGCCTGGTGTTACACCGTCAACAGCCCCCCTCCGACCCCGGGCTGGTGAGGCCGACGTACCGCTCCGTTAGACCGAAGATAAAGATAATTAAATTAAAAAATAGATCACTGAAATATTCTTTTAAACTTTATGAAGGTGTTTCTGTTTTTTAATCATGGCGTTAATGTGTTTTTAGTGGAAAATAACACGGAAAGCTACTGGAACGGTTACAGACAAAGCTCATTGCGGAAGCCGGACGTCTTTACGCACGGAGCGCCGAGCGAGAAGCATTCTGGGAATTTATGTAGTTTTTTTCTCTAAACTATCCAATTTAGATAATTGATTATAAACATAATCTTCAGTAAGATTTAAATAATGTTGAATAAAGTTATTTATATTATTTTGGTGACGGGGGAAGAGAGGCGCTGGACACACAGCATCGAACATCCAGTTCCCGGAAACCGGACGTTTTTAGGACGCAGCACCACGCGGGGAGGATTCTGGGTATGTTTGTAGTCTTGTGTCTCAAACAGGCAAAAGGTTTCCTCCGGTGATGATTTGTGTTTTTAGGAATAAATCAAATGTTTCCTTTAAAATTCAGCTCCAGATAAATCGAGTAAAACAAACAATTAAAAGTCTTGATATTGAATAATTAATGTTTTATATAAAGAAAAACCATTGGAGGATATTTATACCACATATAAACTTTTTAATCAAGAGAAAATCTAATTACGAGATTGTGACTTTTTTAACTAGTTCTGAAGACATTTGTATGGACAAGGGTTTAACTTTCTTTGCACAGCTTGTTTTGTTTTATTAGTCATAAGAAGATAAGAATTAAAAGTTAATTTTCTGCAATCTGTTGTGTGCAAGTATTGATTTCTAGATATGGTATTGATTACAGTAACTTCAGATTTCAAATTAAGGAGGTGAGAGTTTTTCCTCTACAAAGTTATGAAGTAACATAAAAACTAAATATTCACACAGAGTTGAAGTACCTCAAACTTTTCACTAGAAGGCGCCAAAAAACTGTTGATTTGCATCAATCGACCATCAAAACAAATGTAATGATTTTATTCACAATCATTACTTTAATCGTGCTCCAGGGAAATGAGATAACACATGGTTGTTCTTCATATGTTGACTTAAAAAGAGTTTATTTATTTTTTGCCTCAGTTGGTTTCCTGGTTTCATTTGTTAGCTCAGCTTTTAAATTTAAATTTCTCCACAAAGTT